CCAAAGACATGAATGAGACTCTGCCAGGAGAGCGGCCTGACACTATCCGCCTAGAGGGGCTTCCTTGCCGCTGGTTCAGCCAGAAGGACAGCCAGTACCCTGACCGGCCATCTGAAGAAGTCCTTACTGCTGTCTTCCAGAGCTTTGGCAAGGTAGTATATCTAACTTTTTTCTTCCAGCTCTTCTGTGTTGAACAGGAAATACAAATGCAAATATGGTTTCTTAAATTTAGAAACAGGACACAACTCATGTAATGTGGCCCGTAATCTTTACAAATAAATGAAATATGAATTTTACATATAGTGTAGTGCAATAAAGTATTGCACAAGAGCACCAAAAGTCATTTGAGTTTTAAGAAATCATGTAAATAACATTGCATTTACTATGTTCACTGTTCTATCTTTGAACTGTAGGTGCGAAATGTTGACATCCCTATGTTGGACCCATACAGAGAAGAAATGCTGGACAGGAACTTTAGTACTTTCAGTTTTGGGGGTCATCTGAACTTTGAGGCTTATGTCCAGTACCAGGAGTACTGTGGTTTCACCAAGGCCATAGACACTCTGCGCGGCATGAAGCTGATGCTCAAAGGAGATGATGGAAAAGCAGTGGCCTGCAACATTAAGGTACTACATGCTCTAATGGTTGTAAAGCACAGCACTATCCATGTTAATGGTTAAAAACACTGTAAGGAATGACATTTTTCTGTCTCCGTTATTTGACTGAAATATTTAAATAATTGTTTCCTGAACGTAGGTAGATTGGGGTGAGCTGATTTCACCACATATACATAACCAGGCTTGATTTACTAGCGTGTATTTGTATATATTTTATATTCAGTCCTAGAGAGAAACTGATTAGGACAAACTTTAAAGGACAGAATGTTGAGAAAACTCATCAGAAAGATCCTTTTTTCTCGTTAGCTTATTTGTTTTCTTCTTCGCTTAAGTCACATTCATTGTCTTTCTACAGTTGTAAAATCCTTCCTCATAGTATTATAAAACACAGTGTTTGCATCAGGTCAGCCCACAAACTCATGGATGTATTTGTCAAGCTGGGATTAATGGGCTGTACCATATTTTCTCATTGATACCTGCAGCCCCCCCCCATCCCAGGTCTTTACAGTTTTATTAAACACATTGCTATTTTTGGTCTGAATGGCCACTGAGAGACTTCATTAATCTGCGTGCCTGTTGTGTGTGGGGCTACCCAGTGGTTTGCAGCTGCTTTAGTGGTTTTGCTGATGTGCACAATGTTGCTAAGAGGTTGAGCTGTTCACAGTAACATAGGAGCTTTAAGACCTTTTAGTGGAATGAGAATTAAAGCTGCATCATTTTCAAAAGTAATGAGGGTAAAGGAGAACCTGGTCTCTTAAGCCTCAAGGCTTCACTGTGAAATCTAAAATAGGTTAGAAAAAGCAAAGGAGGGTCTTTATAAAAACACAGAGGTACAAAAGATATTGTAATTTGGTTCTGTTGTTTAAATAAATGAAAAAAGAGGGGGTATGTTGTAGTTCACCACCTCCTGTCTGAGCAAAAGGGGTTATATCTCAGTTGCATTACACGTGAGTTTTCCCCAGGGTGGTATAATAATATATCAATATCATGTTGTAATTAATATGTGTGCTTTTACTGGACTGGTTGAAATGACTGTACCTTAAAGCAAAAGGGCATAACAAAGTGAAATAAACCATAATAGATGCTCAAACACTACACCTGCTTTTGAAAGGCAGATCTGACACATTGTACACCATAAAAATATTTTCTGTGTATTTTTGTGTTTTCTTTAGGTGATGTTTGACACTAGCAAGCACATGAGTGACTCAGCTCTGAAGAGGAGGAGCCTGGAGAGAATGAAGTTGCAGGAGCTGGAGAGGCAGAGAGAGGAGCAGAAACGACGGGAGAAGGAAGAGGAAGAGCGCCGCAAGGAGGAAGAGAGGTATGATGGGAGACAAAAGAGCAATGGAAAGCAAATTTGGAATAAAAAAAAAAAAAAGAACCAGAGGAGATTCATATAACTGTGCAGAACAGTTGTGGAAAGGTGAAGCCCAGAACTTAAAAACAGACTGTCATACACCTCAGCTAGCAGGTAGCAAACATTAGGAGATACAGCTTGCACTTTGACTTAAATCTGATCACCAACAAGACATCTCATCTCATTACTATCAATTACCTTTCTGTGAGCAGGCCGCAACTTACTATGAGGCATATTACCTGAGCATGTGGAAAAATCATCTTAAGTCTGGTGAAAGTAAAATTTGTTTGTTAAATGAATCGGGGATCATTGCCAGATTTGAAATATTAATTTTAGTTTCCGCTCAGTACCATGTAAAGTAATAATGCATTGCTGTGTAGTTGTTTAACAGCAATCACAATAAAAATTGACCTGCCACACCAACAGATATTCATAGATGCTAAATTCGCTTTTTTCCAGGAAACAGAAGGAGCACGAAGAGGAGGAGAAGGAGAGAAAAAAGGAGGAGAGGCTGCAGAAGCGAGAGCAAAAGCTTCGGAAGAGAGAAGAAAGGAAGAACCTGAAGAGGGTGAGGCGACAGCAGGAGGAGGAACAGAAGAAGCTGCAGATGAAGATCGCCATGGAGGAGAGGAGGCTGCTGCTGGCTCAGCGCAACCTTGAATCTATACGGCTCATCGCTGAGCTGCTGGCCAGGGCCAAGGTATATCATGGACACAAAGATAAAATGTGTCTGTTCAATATGAAGACAACACTGCAGGGTGTTACTCCTCCCAGCCTGACATATTGCACAGCACAAACCCCTGTAGAACCAAAAAGAGTTTTTGTATGGATGAGTTTAACATGAGAATAATAATGTAATATTGTCGCTTTTCTGCCACAAATAATTTTATTGATTCTCTCATCTTTACGTGCATTGTTTCCTTCTCCTCCTCAGACTCTGAAGCAGCAGCAAGAGGAGAAGGAGAGGGCTGAACGCGAGGAAAAGGAAAGGCAGGAGCAGGCTCGACAGAAGGAGGAATTGGCCCGGCTTCAGCAGCTGGAGGTGTGCCGACGCAAGCAGGAGGAGGAGCTCCAGAGGGTGGAGGTGGAAAAGGAGCGAGCGCTGGAGCTCCAGCGCCGAGAGAAGGAGCTAAGAGAGAAACTCCTCTGCAACCTGCTGAAGAAGAGCAATGGAAGAACTACAGAACCTCCAGACATGCAGGACCAGGCTGGCTGCGTAACAACAGAGGAGGCCTCTGGTCCTGGTGGCAGTGACGTGATGTCGGAGGTCCTGGGTCAGGTGAATGGATCTGTGGCAGCTGAGAGCAAAGAGAAGCAGGTGTCTAAATCTAGTGTGCACTACCAAGTTTCAGGGAAAACAAGAGTCACAGACAGGAGAGGACCGGATGACAGGAAGAAAGACCGGGAGGGAAGAAGGGAAGAGGTGGTGAAAAGCAGGCACAGCAGGCACAGCAGGGATCGAGTGGGAGACCAGGACCACTCCCACAGAGAGAGGAGCTCCTACAGTGGGGGGAGGAAGAGGCGTTCCCACAGTTCCAACAGGAAGAGAAGGAGCTCCAGTCGTCATAGGAGGAGCTCCAGACATCACAGGAGGAGCTGCAGTCACCACGGCAGCAAGAGGCACAGCCATAGCCACTGTAGCAGAAGCACGAGCTCGAGCAGAGACAGGAGCAGGAGCAGCAGCGGGAGGAGCTACAGCAGGGGTAGGAGCCGAAGACGCAGTCACCGAAGATACAGCAGAGATAGCTCCAGGAGCAGCAATGTCAGCGGAGACAGGAAGAGTCACAGTCATTACAGTCGAAGATACAGGAGACACAGCAACAATAGAGACAGGAGCCACTCCAGGCGACGCTAAGCTCACCAATATCATCAGTTTATTAAGTGATATATACTTAAAGTGCAACAAGTTTTAGAAGAAAAACGGGTATTTTGGTCCTTTAATTAGGCAATGTGACCAAATGGCTGGAGAAATGTTTGGTTTAGGAAAAAAAAAAAACTAAGAAGTCTAATCAACACCACAGAAACAACTAAAGCAGCATATGTATGTGAGAAACTTGGAAGTTGTTGTGGTAGAAAGTAAAATTTATCTTTGAAATTTTAGGTAGTTCACAGTAAAGATACTGTCAGCAGCTCTGACTTAACAATATGGGAGAAAATAAACCTCAGCTTTACTGTTTGGTTTCACTAGACTATACAATATGTGAAAGATAATGTATCAGCATTTGTACAGGGTACACTAAACCCCACCCTGAAAATTATAACAAGAATAAACACAATTGCGTCTTAAACTTAGGTTCAAAGTTAGTGATCCACTATACACCCTTAGCTTTGATATTTATTTTATTAGAAGTGAAGAATGCTGCTGCTGCATTTCAAATGTGAAGCTTCCACAGACTAAAATACATACTCCTGTTTTTAGACCAACTGATAGATCTGCTAGTTTCATTTTCATGTGTTAGCTTCTAAAATATTTCTTGGAATACTGCTACAGGTTTGGCTGTGTTGCTTTTAAGCTGCTCAGTTAAACATGTGACTGAATTCTACAACAAGAGGCAGCATGTTTGATCATAGTTTTAATTAAGAAAGGGTTGTTTATTTTATATTTCTTTCTCTTTTTTTATTTGAGTACTTGAATTCTGTGGGAATGCATCCAATATACTGTCCCCCCCCAAAAGTTACTCAGTGCTCAAAGCTTTGCTAACAATCCCACAATGTGGTGCCTTTTATGGATTCCACCACTGAAGACAAGATGAGACAACATGATAAGTAATCTTGTTTACTTCTCACTACTGGTTAAACCATATATATATATATATAAATATATATATGTATATGTAGTGAGAGTGATTTCTGACAGAGCCAGGATGTTTGAATTCATGATGACATTGATTCTGACTCAGTAGCCAGTACACTCCCTTTTTCCCTGACCATATGCAAGTGATGGATTTCAGAGCGGTCCAGTTTCTTCAAGAGCGTCAGAAGTCAGGAATAACGTCTAATATTTGTTTAGCTAACAAACACAGTACCAAGTTAAAAAAAATAGGAGGTTAGCCTGTTTTCAGGCTCACGTTGTAGTACCGGAAACATTTTTAGCCTTGCTAGTTATTGTACGGACTGTTTTTGTAACTGAATTAGAGTAAGGGGGGAAGTTGGTCACACTTTTGTTTATGCTTCTTTTTTTGATGTTGTTACTTGTAATGGCAAGCCACATTTGATGTCTTGCATACACATCTACAATAAAAATCCATGATAGGAACTTTCTGAAAACCTTTTTTCTTTCTGTTGATATTTGCAATTTTGTCACTATAATTAGAAGCTTTATGACACTGTGACTCAGGTTCCAGTATTAGGTTTCTGAACTTATGCCAGCTAAATTTTCTACTCTAAAATTGTCTTATGCAAGACTGTGATCACCAAAATGCAAATTCTTTCTCAGAATTACATGTTGTCAGTCAGTCTGCATGATGTTGTGGCCATGATCTGAGCAACTCCTGTCTGTTTTTGTCTTTATATAAACGGATTTCCCCAAGGCCCTGTGTGAAGGAAGAAAGCTGTCATATCTGTATCCTGTCCGTACACCCCTGGTTTAACGAACTGTTGATGAATAATTAGTTGTCAAACTGATTAGTGTCATGGCATGTGACGCAACAGGCTGTATCATTACGTTTATTACTGCCATTCGTCTCGGCATAAGTGCAGTCAGGCCATATGCACATCTTTCATAGGGGAGTCCTGCAGAGGTCTGGTCATTCCATATTGTTGATCACATTTTGGGGTCATGAAAACATTGTGGGAAACGGGTCTGATATGAGTCTGTGCTGAATCAAAGTCCCCATGTGAGTGTGAGTGATAATGAACAAGGCAGCAGTGTACTGCCACAGAGTTGTTTCTTTGTCTTACATAGCCTGAGCCCCTGCTCTAATCCAGGTTATCTGGTTGTAATCAGCTTAGCCCACTGCTGTTCACACTGGTACTGCTGCTATCACCTTCTGTGGCTTTAGTCTGCTACTGTTCTCACCATCTTTCATACGTACACCTGTTGAAGCTTCTACGGAGTCTAAAAGATTTGCAGAGAAGTTCAGCTCACAGCTTGGAAAACTACAATACCCACCGCACTTTTCTGGGCTTCTTGTGCAAACTGTGGCCACTGCTGAATGTTAAGAGATGTGTTCAACTGAGGAGACACCTGCTGCAAACACATGTCCCAGAAAAATACTTGAATATATGGAAGGATTCCTTATCTCAAAGGTAACGCGTGGTCTATGCATGCACCTTTTTATATAGACATTTAGCCCACTGGTGCTCATTTTAAGGTTACTGGCATGACATAACTTTTTCATAACAGACGTTTTGACTTCTATAGGGAAACCACAAGTCTTACTAGAAATATTAACAATGGCTTTGCCCTGTTCAAGTTTACTAGTAAGCCATTAAGTCATCGTGCAGAATTCCAGACTCTGAAACTGATGTGGCTAAATGGAATTCAACCATTGTTAATTACTTTTGTCATTTACACCAATGCATTTCCTACTGCATGTCAAAAATACCTACTGTAGCATTTAACCTTCTGACCTTAAATGTTTACTACTGTGCATCAATTGATCTTGTACTGGTGTAAAAAAGATTAGAGCCATAACGATAGGAGCTTTAAAAGAAAAATGCGAATACTAATATTGTTTTTTGTTGGAGCAGTTTTTTTCAGTCAGTTTATGAATGAATGTATTAACTAGTAAAGGTATAAATAGATGAGAGGCTGAAAACAGCAATAAATGCAGCAGAAGGTGTAAAGTAAAAATCAGAAGAATGGGGCAGTTGAAGTTGTGCATGATGTGCAAGAAATGGTTAGTTGTGAATATACTCTGCAGTACCTATTGGCTGCTGATTCAAACCAAATGCTGCATCTTTTTCTAAAAATAAGTAAAGCTGGAATAAGAAATATGATGCATCACTAGTGAAAGAGCATGAGTTGTGCTATTCTAACAGTAAATCCTCTACTCTGATCCCTCTGTGTCTCACCTAGACTGTGTTCACAGCCTGTGAGCTGGGTGTGTTTGAGGTGCTGCTGGGTGCAGAGCGCCCCCTGTCAGCAGAGGAGATCAGCCAGGCGGTTGGGGCCAGTTTGGACGGCACTCAGAGACTGCTCGCTGCCTGCACAGGCCTGCAGCTGCTCAATACACACCAGGACAATGGACGAGGTGAACACACACACGTACAAATTGCAACTATTTAAGCATGCTGTCATTCAGATCCAGAAGTATCACACTCCTCCTCTGTCTCTCATCATCCACCTCTCCCACCCCCTGTTTCAGTGCTCTACAGTAACACAGAGCAGGCCAGTGTCTACCTGACCCGGTCTAGTCCTTCATCACTCTTCCACTCCATCCAGTACAGCTCCAGAACCATCTACCTGTGCTGGCACTACCTGATTGATGCTGTCAGGTCAGTACACAGAGCACAGCCACAATTCATTCTGCATTTGCGTTTGGCAAATTACTGCCAAGTACATTTTTTTTAAACGTTCAAACCACTTTCATTTTCTGAGCATCTGTAAACTTGGAGACAAATAATGCTGCAGGGGCAGATGAACCGAAAAGGCAATCAGTAATAAACAAATAAATGGCTGCCATAACTGTTGTTAAGGTTGAAAGGACAATGCTACAAAAGAACTGGCAGAATATTATTCAGTCAAATGAGCCGGCTAAGAGAAAGATCGTACACAGGTTGGTACTGAGGAGCCGTGAGAACTGCAGGTTTGATTTGTAGCTTGAGGATATGGATTCTGGTCCTGCTTTTCTGTTTGAACAGTGTCTCACGATGGATTTTATTCTCATTGTTATGTCTGAGGGAGGACAGCCAGCAGTTCTCAGACAGCATGACTGGATTCACTGTGGCTGACAAGTCCATCTGTGAGAAACACTGAAAAAGATCTAAAGAAATAAGGCTTCTTGATCGAATTTACTAATTCATTTGTGCAAGAAGAGCATGCAATAGAAACATGCTGTTCATCTCATTAGACAGAAGATGATTGTGAAGTCATGTCAACACACTTGATTTTATTGCTGTCTCTTTCAGCTGTGAATTTTAAGTAGTAAGATGATCAATACCTAGATTCCAGATGTTGGATACTTCTCTAACAAATGGGATGAGGGAATTATCATCGAACAAGTCACACAGCACTATATGGCTTTCATATATAAATACTTTTTCATGTCCTAGGGAGGGAAGAAACCAATATGAAAAGGCTTTTGGAGTCACCTCTGAAGACCTGTTTCAAGCTCTCTACAGGTAGAAGTGGCCTCTGATGAACACACACACGAACACACACACACACACACACACAGATGAAACACATACTCCTTCTCATTTACATTCCATCTCTGTCTCTCCATCTGAAGCCTATCTGTCTCCCTGTTCTCTCTTCTACCCACAAAAAGCTGACTCGTGGGATTCATTAGGAGCCAAAGACATAGAGGTTGTGTGCTTGTGAGCAATGGTGTGAGGAGGCTTGGGGCAGCGAGAGAGAGAATACATCTGCCATTGTCCTTGAGGACTCTGTGTGTTCATAACATCTCATGCTCAAAGTTTTCACACTTCACTAATCTGCTGTTCAGCAGTTTTCATGGGTCATTTACTCAAAGTTTCACACTTTGTTTGGAATTAGATTTGGCTCGGCCTGCCCGAGGCCCTGCACTGTGAAGTAATGTCAGTCTATCAAAACTGAAATAGTAACTTGCCTTCTTATCCTCTTCACGGCATGATCTGCCAAACTATTGTATGTTGATGGAAAGGGAATGAATGCGAGCTACTGTGTGTTTTGTTATCATGCAATCATGCAATTTAGGTTCTTGTATCTTGGCTTTTGGAGCCTGTACATATATTTCCATTTTCAATTCATTTTTGCTCTCATATCCTTAGGGAAAGCAGCTTCCCATTCTCCAGAAACCACCTCATTAGGAAAAGATGCATGCAAGATGGCAATATTCAAAATATGAATCATGCCCTTGTAATGTAGTACACCCTTCTGCAGATGAATTTGCAATTTAGCTTTAATTGATTGCAAATGAAAAAGAACATTTTTAACACCTGCGCACAATTGATTTAATGTGGAGGAGCAGTTGTTTGTCCCTGCTGATTTCCCCTGTGAAAATTGTGTGTGGATTGGGGAAACGACCACTCAAGACATTCACTGAAGTCATTCACTATATTCTTGGAGCACTGTAGCAGACACAGAATGATTCAAAGCTGGCTGGATGACTCAGACTCTTGTTTAGTCATCACCATGTAACCAGCCATGTTCTGCACCTGAATAATTTACAGCCAAGTCTACTGCTTGAATTCTCATACTTGAGAAAGCAGAAAAGATCTGGAGAGGAAACTGACAAGAGAGCATGGATTTAGAGAGGCTTTGAGATTTCAAACCTAAGCAGCACATTGCATGTTGAGATATTTTCATCTAAATATAAGTAATTTTTTTTTATTTGCTTATTTTTTTAATTTTTTTATTTTGCCCTTTTGGGTCATGTGTCAGGTGATTTCAAACTTCACAGCTGAAATCATGTTTCTGTAGGTAAAACATTTAGAAGTTATGGCATTTTAAGGGGTTATACACTAAAATTGGTGGGTTTGGCTTGGTCATCGTTACAAAGCACCTTTAAATGAATGGACTGCATTCAGATAACTGAAACTAGAGCAGAAAATACAGACGCTAACCCACTACTCACACGAACACTGATACTACAACTACTACTACAACTACTGCTGATAAGGTGAAGAGGCCAGAGCAGCAAGACAGCAGTAAAAGACATATCAGTAGTCAGGCAGCCAACTACAGGTCAGTCTGTAGAGAAATAACAGACCTGCAGTGATGTTGATGAATACAAGACTTGTCTGTTCAGACAGCAGATGGGTCAAAAACCATGCTGATGTTATAGTGATGTAAACAAGGACAGAGATAACCAGGTTAAGGCTTTTTCCTCCGTTTGACAGGAGACAGAAAAGGGCTGCAGATGCTGTCGTTAGGGGGTATTCAATAACTTGTGTCCATAATGTTCTCAAATTAAAGCAGACAGTCTGCAGGTACATCAGCAGCAGCAATGAGTCACTTTCAAAGTTCTTGTGGAGGTCACTGTGTCATCTGAAGTTTGCTCAATAATCAGAGGGTTTATCACTTCTCCACAGTATGGAAGTATGGATAAATCAATCTCACTGCCATAGAATAGAGAATGCTCTGTGTGTGTGTGTGTGTGTGAGCCTTCGTGGCAGAGCAGAGTGCTGGTTGATGAAGTGGAGGTTTCTGAGCAGCAGCAGTCACCACAGGCTCTTCTGTTCTGCTGCACCCCATCTCATATACACGTGTCGCCACAGGGAGAAAGTATATGAGGACAGGCTTTGTGTGTGTGTGTGTGTGTGTGTGTGTGTGTGTGTGTGTGTGTATGTGTGAGTCTGTCTGTTTTCTGTGGACTATTTATTGATCGAGTAGCCCCTATGGTGACAGCTTAAAGAAAATGATGAAAAAATCTTAGCCTCAGTACCATTAGACATAAATGAGAGGCAGGAAAAAAATGACTTGCTGTATTGTGTGTGTGTGTGTGTGTGTGTAGATCTGATGAGGAGATGATGACATTTATGCAGTTAATGGACTCCATTTGGAACATCTGTGGCAGAGACGTGGTCACAGCCTTTGACCTTTCACCTTTCACGGTCATCTGCGACCTTGGTGGTAAGTCACTGTGCGTGTCTGTGTGTGTGTTTGTCAGATCACCATATCTAATTTCCATAAGGCTGTGGGTTCAGAGTCATTATGAACATTTAAATAGTTTGTCATGTGTTAACTGAGCAACAGCTGGCTCAGCCACACACACATTTATACAGTATGGTGCTGTATGTGTGCACACAAAAGGAAAAAGCACACGCATACAGTCGACTGTGACCTTTGTGAGATCGTCCACAACCTCTTTTGAGTTTTTGATTAAATAAATCAGTCAGCCTTCTCATCACACCAGACTGTTTGAATTGTGTAAAATGTATAAATGTGAATGAGGACAGCCGGTCTCACTGCTTTACAGTGAGAGCAAAGAGCACAATGGCACAAATGTGAGGGAGAAAAAAATGAACAAACACAAGAAGAACTCTACAATATAAGACCGGGGCTTCTGCAGAAATGCAGACACGAGTCAAGAGGAGAGCAGGATGAAATTGGATTGGAGTGTGAAGGAGTGTGAAGGGCATGACTGCAGCTCCCCATTAGGAGTCTGTCTCTCACACAACATCTGTTGTGCCTCTACACACCTGCTGCTCAGGTCTGTCCAACTTTCTGCCAACTCGCTGACTTTAATCCAAATCAGGTATCAGTCTACATCCAATGTGCATTCAGTCGCCAGATTATTAGGTAGGCCAAGATGAAACTAAATGTAAACAGGTTGGATTTAGTTTGAATGTAAAAAGATACTGTCTGTGCAGTTTGTTAACATTTACACCACCGATTGTGCCTTTAAAGTGGTACTTCAGTATTTTAGTATTGCACTTGGTGTTTACTGTCCCTGTTAAAAATCCTTGGGGGTCTCCAAGCTGAAATATCCCTGATGACATCTGCATCAGGGATATCTCAGTCTGTTTCTTCAGACTTTAGAAGGCTCTCTGTAGAACCACAGAAGATATTATGCAACTGTCTTCACAGGCTGAGCAGCCAGCCCATGATCTTGTTGTGTAGAATCAAGTTCTTCACAGCTAAACAGGGTGGATGCAGGCATCATTCACCAGTGTCCAGCTACGATACTGATGGAAAGCCTTCACAACCATGAGCCTAATGGAGTTACTGTGTAGTGAAGTAGAACATGCTGTATTGTAGATACCAGGAATATAAACACATGGTAGTGGTAGAGTTTTATTATATATCGTGATTTTTAATTAAATGATCTGCACAAATAAATGGGTATCAGAAAATATACTAAATAAATAGAATACAAATGCAACAAGACAGAAGAAAACTAAACAATACAACACAGTTCCTGCACTGTAACAGTCACACACACCTCCCGTCAAAGGAGGTCATTAACAAACTGAGGCGGTCAGGTTAGCCTGGGGTCTTGTACAGTGTGCTGGTTCTGCTCCTTCTTGCTGCTCTTTGAGTTTCTCTTCTGCTGATTCCTGCTTGATGTCTGAGCCAGAGTAATAAATCCAGAGTGTATGTGTCTGCATTTGTGTAAAAAACTGAAAACATCTTGTACGAATACACACTGATAGAGCAGCAGCAGGCCATGTTAACAGGAAAGCACTAGAGGGCTATGCACACACACACACACACACACACACACACACCAGGCTTTGATCCTGTATTCCACCTCGCTGCCTCTTTATCACTGTCCCATTCGTTCATTCTTCATTTGTCCCTCTCTTTTTTACAAATTTGCTGCACTATCTCTATCGGTCGCTTTCTCTCTCTCGCATTGTTTTATATTCATTTTGGTTGCAAAAGCCATACAAACGAGATGATCGCCCCCATATTTGCAATATTTTGGCTTCCAGTTTGCATAGTGGCAGGAAGTGGTGCCATGTCATCCATCCTTATATACAGTCTAAGGGCTGATTCAGTCGAGGGACAGAGAACACTACCTTCCTTTCAAATGCATGTAAAATCAGCCAGATAATCAAATCAAATTGTGTTTGCGTGTTTGCTTTTCCTTGGATTAGATTCCTTAGTAGGATTCCTGGATAGCAGCTCTGCTCTGTTTCTATATAAAGCGACTGTCTCTCTGTCACTCTACATTCAGTTCAATCCAGTCTGGTTTACTGGCATGAATGTTAGATGAAGCCTATTCCCAAAGCTGCCAGATCTAACTGAATACAAATCATGCAAATAAATAATGGGTACATACCTGAAGGCATCTGTTCCACTCATGTGACACTTATGTGTATGTTTGTGTGTGTGAGAGTGGTGCTTTCCCTTGTTTAATGAAGGCTCAGTATTTTCATTGTGTGGTAACTAAAAGCAATATTCTCTCTCTCTCTCCCTCTCTCTCTACAGGCTGCAGTGGAGCATTAGCCAAGCAGTTCACGTCAGCCTACCCAGAATGCGCCGTGATGATCTTTGACCTCCCCAAGGTGGTGCGTATGTCAAGGGAACACTTTGTCAGCGAGGCCGACCAGAGGATAAGTTTCTGCCAAGGTAACATCGTTATAAGTGGATGCAATCACTTGACATTTATAATCATATGCAGCCAGTTCAAGTGCAAAAAACAGAGTTGCAAACTGGTGAGGGTCGAAAAAGGTGTGACAACTAGTGGTTATTAAACTGAGTGTATTTGTGGGTTGACTTGTAAGTCCTGACTGTAAAATGTTTTCAGTCGATGTATAGTACTTGGATCTGAAAATAAAAGCAGAATAAAAATCTCTTGATGCTGACGCATGTGCGTCTCCATTATCCCACTGAGCTGTTGTGCTGAAAACGTGTACAAAAGTGTCAATTTATACCTCACTCTTCCTTTGTTGTGTCGGCTCTCCAACACAGCAGCTAATGTAGAGAAATCTTTGATCTTGAAAACCACGAGCCAAAATCAATTTCTGCCTCTCCTGCTGTTCTCATAGCACTGATGACGGTGAACACCACAGGAGCTGTAACACGAAACACACGAAAAATTAGATGCACTGTCTTAAAATATTGCAGCTATAATGGACAGCAAGGACATGAGATTATTGGAAGAAAAACGAAAGCAGTGACAAATCAAAGAAACCCCTGATTACATGAGAGGGACACTTCCAGGTTGGCAGTGCCTCCATCCACAGGGCACGAGGGGTCACTGAATGGTCTGATGAGTATGAAACTGATGTGAATCATATGCTGTGGCCTTCACAGTCACCGGATCTCAGATCAGTTGAACACCTATGGGAGATTTTGGAGCAACATGTTAGACAGCGTCTACACCACCATCATCTAAACACCACACAAGGGAATATCTCTTGGAAGAATGGTGTTCATCCCTCCAGTAGAGTTCAGAGACTTGGAGAGTCAGTGCCAAGATGCACTGAAGCTGTTCTGGTCTACACATTATATACATCATTAATTTATTATTACTGTTTATACACTGTTGTAGCATCAAGTCTTTGCTGGTAAACTAAAATCCCCAGACATGTCTTGTCTGAATGTTAGCATCTGGAAATATGCTGTAATCAGTTGTTAGGTCACATCACCACTTTGTAGTAATTACGTTTCAGTATGTAGACCACTAGCAGAATCATTGTCATAATGCTGGAAGGCTTGTCAAGCAAATTAAAAAGTATATGAAATAATGAAATCAAATATAGCAGTGTCTTAGGTATTCATTGCATACGGGTGATGTGTGTGTTATGCATGTATTTGTATATGTCTGTCTTTAGGGGACTTCTTCAAAGATCCCCTGCCGGAGGCCGACCTCTATATCCTTGCCAGAATCCTCCACGACTGGACAGACGAACACTGCATAGAGCTACTCAGTAGAGTCCACAAAGCCTGCAAACCAGGTCTGTGTTTGTCAGGGTGTGTGTGAGTGCTGTTTATTCCCCTCCTTGAAATGAGATGGCAGATTGTGTCTCACAATGCAGCTGATCCCAGAAAAATCTGTCCTTCTGACTTTGATCAAAGACAGCTGTACACACACACACACAAAAGCATTAGATGCAATCAGGAGGTAGAAAACCCTGTGTTTTTGTCTGTATATCTGTGTGTGCACATAAGGGGAAGGAAGAAAAGCGAAGAAATAAAAAGGGTAGGGAAACCTAGTGTTACTGGGCAGTGCATACAGTGTGTATGATGTTTGTCAGTGGTCATTTACAGCAGATAGTGTGACTTGTCACAGCAGGGTAAACACAGGTGAATTAATGACATTAACGACTGCATACAGCAATTGTTAATAGTTCCACCTGTGTTGGATAAGTCAAAATGTCTGCTGTAAACGAATGTGTATGTGACCATTACTATGCCTTGTTTCCTTTTTTAATCCAAGTAAATGAAAACAGTTGGCCAGCAGTTGACCAGTTAGCTAGTTGACCATCAACCTTTACTTGCAAGCGACAGACTTGCCTCATTTGGGTTAACAAACCTATCACTAGCTGGCTCTGCTTCGCCAGAACACTTTTTGAATCAGTCAGAGAAGGGGAGAAAGAAAATCAAAAAAGAAAAACAAACAAACAAAGCTCATCTTTTTTGTTCATCCTGCAGGTGGCGCTGTGCTGCTGGTGGAGGCACTGCTCCACGAGGATGGCACTGGCCCGCTAACCGTGCAGCTGTATTCCCTCAACATGCTGGTACAGACGGAGGGCCGTGAGAGGTCAGCTGCTCAGTACGCTGCCCTGCTGACGTCTGCCGGCTTCACTGACATCCAGCACCGGCTCACTGGCAAGATCTACGACGCTGTGCTGGGACACAAAAAGACATGACTCAAGGCGTTCCTGAGATATTGCCACAAATATCACCAGCACAGAGGCATAATAATGTTCATGGTAACAACGTGAGAGGAGTTGTCACTGCAGGAGAAGCAGTTGCTCTGTTTCATGCCTCTGCCATAACAGACTATTGACATTATTGCAGAAAAACAGCTTTTGCACATGCCATCTTTATTGTTGTGTTCAGCCCAGACAAAGACAGACAGCCTAATCAACTGGTGAAATATCAGCATGCAACTGCAGCTACCAAGACTGTTAAAAAACACAGAGTCTCTGCCATCTACTGCTAGTTACATTAGCATGATAGCTAAGGTGGAACCATATCGTACAGGGCCAGTGGGAAGTTCAGACTGTGTGGAAGGTTTGATCCAATTTAATTCATTTCTTTGCATAAGAATTTATTTTTCTGTTCCCAGTGAAAATCTAGTAATTCAGTCCTCTAGACCTCCAAAACAGATCTATTAAAAATCTATCATGTACCTTGAGATGCATTGCTTTTAAACTACCTCTGACATCAAAATAGGAAGATCAACTGTCAGCGGTGTGGAGAGTATGGAGTATGAAAGCATGCAGAGAGCGTGTTACTGAGAGTAGCAGCAGTAGAGATAATATTGTGTATTGATTAGTGTCGTAGTATTTGTGGTAAATGTACACTTTCTAACCACTCAGTCATATCCCTTGTTCTGAAACCATCCTGTTTTGAACCATCAGCTCAGGGATTCAGCCCAGTCCAGTCTGATTCTGCTGTAAATGATTAACCGTACAGTGCAAAGGTCAGCCTGAATGGTCTGTAGCTTGAGCCACCGGTCTCACTGTTAAGTCGATGACCTTCCTTGCATATATCTGTTCTCATCAGACATTCCTAAACCTTGTGGCTGAATCTTTTGCCTCTCACTGCTCATAACAGCACAGTAAAATTGTCTTTGTAACACACTCACTGTAATGATGGCTGTGACTCTATAAATCTTCTTGACAATGGCCCAGCAGATCTTTTTCTTCACCCCCATCTTCCTGTGAGGATGTATTCAAAATGCAGATATTGGCCTTTTATTGGAAAGTCAGCCTGTCACCGTGCTCCACCTCTCTGATGTCGTCTGCTAGAAAATAATATGGAGCTGATCACACTGCACTGGTTGTCAGTGAGAAACTCCACACAAGTATCTGTGAATATAATTATTATTCAGTTATGTTAATACCAACTGTCATTTATTATGGCATTTAAATAGGCTTGCCAAAGGATAATTGCACAAAATATCAGTTGTCGGCCTCTTTAGCTGAATATATCATAATCAGCCTTCAAAACCAATATTATCTGAACCCTGGTCTGCATTCAGATGACTCCACCACAACGGTTCATTTCTCGGTCTATTCCCTGTACACCCACTCATTCTCGCTGCCCTCTATGCTCATTTCTCCTTATTTTTCTCCTGTGAATTAATCAGACTTCAAAATACAACAAATTAGAATTGATGTCAAATCTTTGCACAGAGTCGGCCTAATGAAGGGAAATGAAAAGGTGAAGATGGTTTGACTGTGCGGAGACAGGGATAGTACCCAGTGCTTAGTACTACCAATGTCCTGGTGGTTAACTGGTGCTGTGTGCCACTTGATGTTTCTTGAGGATGATTTGTAATTTCAGTTAAATTAGGAAATGCACAGATAAAACAGGTTTTCTTAGCACTTCATTTAATGAAGTAATAAGGATGAATTTGAATGAATCCAAATTTGTAATTACCTGTAAAACTTAACTTTCCCATAACTACTAATGTTTCTCTCACACTTAAACCAGATTAGAGAATGAGAATGAGCTTTTTAAGTATTTCCATTTGATTAAAATAAAAGCTAACTTTCCATGGATGAAATCATCCCACTTTCTGATTTAAAGAAAGAGAGGCAGCTCAGGACAGTGAACTAGTCAGCCAGTGGCGTAGTCAGGATAAAAATACACAATAATTTGTTATTGTCTGCATTCATACAAATAGCTTTTTATTTCTTTAAGTACTTTTCCCTCACTTTTCGTCAATGATTTAGAATCGGGTCATTGTTTTCCACTTTCACAGTGGAAGGAGTGCACATTTTTTCTCTATCTCCCAGATCCATTTAGTGCTCCAGCTTATGGAGCTATTATTGTGCTAACCTCAGGTTCAACCTCGGTGGGTTTTACGGATGGTTCTAGAAAGTTAGAGCTGTAAAAACGGGGAACTGTGACAGAGAAGAGGAGGTGAGCTGAGGTTGTTCCTCTATTCTCCCTCATTTGGACACCTGACACAAGTCAGAACAGAGACACACAGATTCCAGAAGTACAACCCCAAAGTCCCCCAAGACTCTTTGGGGGACACACTAAATCTGCTCCAGGTCACACACCCTCCCACCCTCAAGCTCCAGGATGCAACTTTACGATAACAACTTCAGGGCATTTCACTGAACTCACTCAGTTTATGCTCAGTGTATGTGTGTATGTGTGCAAGTGTGTGTTTGCAGTACTTATTAGGGCTCTTTTTATGATGTGGTTGTTTTCATATGAAGGTGAAACTGAAAGTTAACACCTGCTCTTCTTTCTGGAGCAGTCAGAGCAAAACTTCACAGCATTTTCAAACGTCGGAAACTCGATGTGATCAGAAGAATGACTGAAACGGGGAGGTGCATGTTCCACTTCATTTGTGTGCTTTACAATACACATCCTTATGCATATACACTGTAAGGTTCATTTACACATTGTCAAAAACACAGCCAAGAAGGCCTCCAGGTTTATTAATGATAGCTCACATCACATTTGGCTTTTGTAACATTAAACAAGTGCAATAAAAGGTCTGATTTTAAAACGTCACTGTGGAAAGTAAACATCTGGTACAACATTTAGTCATTTATTAGGAATTTCACTAACAGTTCCTGGCCTATCGATATTGCTGGCAACTACCTCTGGACAAGGCATTTTTTCCTAAGTCTTTATATGTAAGGTTTTTTTTTTTAACACAATGACCAATAAGATAACGCTACTGTATACAATTCTGTAATGATGGAGGAAAAAAGAAGAAGAAGACGTCCAGGTCTAAAGCCGTTTTCAGATAGGACGTGGTGGGTACTGCACTCTGCTCCCTGTGGCGAGCCCTGCGCATACAGTGTCCTACCTGAAAACAGCTTAAGTCTCCAGCTTCCGAGTCTGAATGCAGTCAGCGCTTGAGTCCAAGCTTGAGTCTGTGTCATCAGCGCTCAAGTTCAAGCTGAGTCACAAGTCCTGAAAATCATGATTCAAGTCAGACTCGAGTACTATAACACTGGTTTCAGAGTCTCTTCTCTGAATTTCATCCGCTTGTACTGCTATGGAAAGGTGACATGGCACAGTTTTGCTGCCACGTGACAAACTGTCTCTATATTGTGACATGACTTACTTATTTAGTATTTCAGTCATCTGGTCTTGAAAAAGAAACGGGACCCAGATAGGCACTTCAGAGACACGTTTATAATACAAGAGTAGCTACATGGCTGAGAAAAATAATCAAAGTACAAAACCTGTTTGGGATCAGTTGAAAGGAGAATTACCTGGTTGGGATAGTGACAATGTCACCAGGATGACGGCAACCGAGACTTCTGTCAGAGACATATCCTCATTCAAACCGCTGCTGGCTTCGTTGTGGCATAGCTAGATTTTAGGAAAAGATAAAAAACAACAGATTGTGATTGTTGTCTCAACAGAGATGAGGAGGAAAAGTGGGGATGAGGACAGAACAAGGAATTCTGTGATGTTTTGTGCAAACCGCAATAAAAGGATCAAAATTACACACACACACAGTCTCTCTCTCTCTCTCTCTCTCTCCAAAGGTCTCTATTAACATACATTCTGTGTTTATTTGTATTTGTAACTCATAAAATTCTACAACCACCTTTTGGTAGTATGTGTGTGTGTGTGTGCATGTGTGTAGCCTACAGGGCAGACGTCTTTGTCCTCTCTTCAATACTGCTGTCACAGGCCCATGAATTATGGAAGTGTTTGGAAGTGACAAAGTGTGGCTTACGGCCAAAAGACACTTTTATTGAGTTGTGAGATGAGCTGGTGTGTGTGCATGTGGTTGTGCACATGTGAATACAGTATGGCCTTGTTTTTCAATACTTGTGAGGCCCAAAATCCATGAGTTACTATCGTTGTGGGGACCAGCCTCTGGTCCCCACAATGTAGTTTGTCAAATTTTATGAAAACGATGGGGTGTAAGGTTAAAGCAGGTGTAGGCTTTGGTTAAGGTTAGGGTAAGGGTCCTGGAAATGAATGTAACTCTATGTAGGGACCCCATAAGTTACAAAAACAAGGGTGTGTGTTACGTGTTTCCATTTGATGACTAATCCCTTTTTTTCTGTCCTTCGTCCTCTGACACTTACTGTTGCGTCTGTTTTCATATCTTTGTTCTGCCCCTTAGCATGACTAAATGCAGTTCATTTCACATCCACCCACCCCCCAACACACATGGGTACACACACACACACACTTCTATCTTTGTGAGGACACTCATTCCCTAGCCCCTTACCCTAACCTCAACCCTAAAACCAAGTCTTAACCCACAAACAAAAAGGTGTTTCAGAAAGTGAGGGCCACCCAAAATGTCCTCGTTTTGTAGCAAAAACATTTTGTTTTGGTCCTTACCATGTAGCAAGTACATGTACACACACATGCACAACAGGGGGCTGTGGCTGTCTGACATACGTATATCAGCCACAAGGTTGTCACTTCTGCTCTTGGCAATGTGCCACTCGCCCACATGCCCCCTCTGCATTGAAAAAGAAAATATGGACCAGGGACAGAAAAGCATCTTCACCCTGGTTTCGATGTACTCTTAGCTAAACTGAGCAACATAGCCATACTGCCAAATGGTTCTCTTTATTTAAATGAGTTTTCACAGCACTGATGTTTATCCTGCCAGAATCAAGAGTGAGCGTAGACAACATGACATTTGTACTAGTGACGGGGAAGGTGGCGTCTACGTAAGAGCCTTAAAATGACCCAGAAATGGCAGCAGGGAAACATGGTGCACATGAAATAAACACATAATATTGTAATAACTTAAGGGTGGCAGTTAAAATATGTGCAGAATTTGACGAACTATTGATTAACTGTAGGTGTAAGTGCCAGCTATGCAGTAAAAAGCTGCCAACAGTGGTTTCACAGACTTTGTAAAGTGGATCCAAGTGATTCCGATCATAATGAGTGAAACAATGACAAACAAATCTAAAATTCAAAGCAGGCTGTCAAACAACTGCCAAATTAGTCCAAAAGATTTGTGCTGGTGACAGGAAAACAAAACAAAAAGCCTATTCATTGCAGCTCTTTTTCTAACTAGCATGGCCACATGCATTACTGAGCTGCCACTTCACTGAGCCTCAGTGTAAACAAAGGCTTTTCTTAATAAAGTAGGTCAACTTTATTAAAACAGAATATAGGGTTTCTTATGTCTATATACATATATATATATATGCAGCCATATTATTGCTATGCAACAGTAAAATAAAAATGCAATAATATTTTCCATAAACATATAATTATTTATTTTTAAATGTAAACCAGCCCTGGCACTGTGCCGGTATTAACCTAGGCTGCATGTTGATTGTTGTAACAGTGATGATGAAGGTCCTCTGACATTAATGAAGTACTTATTGTAACTCAAACCATGTCCTTTCCCTAAACCTAACCAAATCATGACCATTCTAAACCTTAAGCTCTCCGGTGAACACACATTTATCTCAGTCAGTTCTGACTCAGCCTGAAGAGCTGATGACCTTGAGTAAAAAAAGAAACAGCCAAAAATGAATAACTCTGAACATTTTATTCTGTTGTGTTGTCTGTCCATACACAGAGCACTGCTGAAGGCTTATTGATCTGGGTTTGGTGCAGCAACTTTGCTTTTGGCTTTAAAGCTACGGTGCCTCTCACAGACTTGGACCAAGCCATCTACTGTCTTAGAGCAGATACAGCTGTCCAGGCTTGTAATAATGCAGAAATGCTGTTCAAGCACTTGTGAGCATGTCCAAAGGAAGTGAAGTACAAACAAGCACAGGCAAATTAGACATCCTGCAATATAATAGTCAGTTCACTGTGTACATGTAGGAGGAAAGACGGATGTTATTTATTTGACAGGACTTTAACTTGTGTGTATTTACTTGCAAAAAATAGAAATCAAACATTTTCCCCCAAGATTATACAGCAGGTACACTTTCACTATATACATTGCTTTCTTCATAGCTATTAGAAAACAGAACAAATAGAGCGAGAAATGTGTAACTTTGTCATTTTATTGACCATCTACCGTGCATATATGTTATAGCTTTAAATGAAAATGGTCAAGTGTGTGTAATACTTTATTTTTCCAGTGCTGGGGTCAGAGCGGGCAACATCGAATCCTACTTGAAGCTGCTGACTAAGGATAAGCATAAATACAGTAAGGTTGTTATACACGTCAGCACTAATGACTCTTGACTTCACCAGTCGGAGGTCGTTAGGATTAATGGTAAGTTGATGTGTAACGTCGCTAAAACAATTGGGGAAATCCTAGTCTGATTAGCAGAGAAGATGGCACTGATCCCACTTTGGATGGTGCAGCTCTCGTTTCTAGGAATCTGGATGAGTTTATTTCACAACCTAAATTAGGACAGCCCAGAGTTGAGACCAGGACACAGGGTCTTACACACCTCTCTGCGTCTCTTTGCAGCTGTTAAAACTCCCAGTACCTCATAGAGACTGTGTCTGCCCCCTGACCACCTAAATTATATAAATCAAACATCAGCTCAAGAGGAGTTATTCATAAGAACCTAATTAAAATTAAAACTACTCCTAGACCTCACTTTGTAAAGTGTCCTGAGACTTTTATTGTGATTTGGCACTATACAAATAAAACTGAATTGAACTGAATGAATCTGTATTACACTGTAGTTAGATTATCCACAAGGGGAAATTATTCCTATTCAATTAATTCCACGGATTATTAGCTGACTCCACACATGATGAGTCAGTGTATCAGTTTGAGCAGCACAGACAGAGGTTAGACTCAACTCTGCTGCAGCACTCATTCAATTTCATCTCTTTTTATATACTTCCCAGGGAGGCAAGGAAGGACTGCAAAGCCAGAACCTGCAACAACAATAACAGCAACTGAGCTTTTACTGGCTGTGGATAAATGGAGAGCTGCCAGCAAAGTTGCATGTCTGACAATGGAAACTGACGTTTCTGGCAAAATCCAAACAGCATTGTGGGCTTTTTTCCAGATATTCATCTGAGAAGGAAAACCTCTTTTGCATGCAATTCCGCAAGCGTCTGTCAACAGGCTATAACAGAAATTTATTCATAGAGCTGATTCTGATGCAAAGCTAAATGAAACTCTTCTACTTTACAGCAGCAGCTTCTTGGTTTCCTGTCATGTAGTTACATTACTTTCTATTTGGATGTGACAGCTCTTCCACATGTTATACCCCTACAGTATAACATCATATTTTACCCATAACATTGGTCAGAAGGAGGAAATTTAGGATTATATGGATTCCATTATTTAGCATGCCCAAGCTTCTTGTAAAGGACAAAAGAGGACTGGAATTGAAGCATTCTTACACCTACAACATACAAATTAGCCTTCACTGAGCCCCACCAGTCCTAGTTAATGTTGCTGTCAAGCTTCCAATCTTACACTGCACAAGTACAGTTATTTACAGTGATAACACAAACAGATTTACCTCTTGAAATTTATAGTAAACTAAATAAACAAAAAGTTTTTTATGTCCAGTTTGTTGAAAAAGCTACTTTATCTCCAGCTGACTTGTCTTAAAGTGAGAACTCAGTAAAACGGTTCTAAATATTTCATTTCTTACCTCCATACTAATGTTATGCTAATGACTGAGGCTGACGCGTTAAACACTTCTAAGGGAAAAGTCATTATCCTGAACAGAGCAGCATTGTTCTTGTATAGCAGAATAGAACAAGTTAGCCTTAGCATCACAGTACAGTAAAATTTTGTTCTGTTTTCAATGTTTGGATGCCTACTATAAAAAAACTGCCTACTTGGATGAGTAAGAGAGGCCATGTCTTTATTTGTTGTTTTAAAACAGTATTTTACGTTGTCAAGAAATCAGAATAGGATTTGAGGATTAGGACTAACTGCAGCATTTGGCAAATTTCATGCTGTCTTGGCTAAAGAGTTTGGCTGGAGGCCACTGGAGTGTGAGCAGCATATCCTGTATAAAGCATGCCAAAGCTGCTGATGTTACTTTGAAGCACCATGACTGACTCCCATGCAGTAGTGGAAAACTACACAATGAATATACCAGCTCTGAGTGGGACCTTTTCTGAAATACCGGAACTGGTGACGCAAAATTTTGTTAAATGATACTGTGTACTTCTTGGTCTTGGAAGTAACATTACAGTCCATTAGTGATGGGTATTAAGCTAATTTGCCAAACATGCTAACATCAGAGCAGACAAACACATTACACACAGTATAGATACCGGCTTTCATCAGAATTAATTTGACAGTTCTAGGTGAAAGGTTATCCAATCAGAAGCTTTGTCCCATATGTTCCTCATCACAGCGCTGTGTTTTTTGTAAGACAGGTGCAGAAAAAACAGGGTAAAACACTCAGACACAAGTCTTACACTCAATCAGTCAGGTT